GTATGTTTATTTATTGTGTTGTTGCTGCTGCGTTAAAATAATTTCCCTTTGTGGGATTAATAAAGTTCTTTGATTTAATTGAAATTTCCAACGTTTTTAGGTTAGGGTTAGGGTTAAGGTTAGGTTATATATATATATAGACATGTATATATGTATATGCTGTTGTTTTATTTTTGGAATTAGTAAGAAAAATAATTTCCCTGTCGGATTATTAAAGTATTTCTGATTCTGAAAATGAAGAAAATCTGGCTTAAATATGAACATTTTGAATTCTGGGCCTCCGTTTTCCACCGGAAAAGCGAGCGGTTGAACCTGGTCCGCGTTCAGCTGTGAGAGAAAGTCGTGGGTTTTATTTTGTGTGGTGATTTGTGCGTGTTTGTGTGCGCAGATCTTCCACAAACCTCTGCTGGAGTTTGAGCTGCTGACCGATAAAGAAGTGGCCATGATCTTCGTCAACTGGAAGGAGCTCATCATGTGCAACATCAAACTGCTCAAGTAAAAAAAACAAACTCCTTTCTCCGCCTTTCTCGTTGTGTTAGCGAGGATTGTGTGTAATACTATATACTAGATATAATATAATAATAAATGATAAATTATATAATCTACAAAGCCTCAAATAAGCAGCAACACACAACGTGTGACTTTAAAGAGAATGACAAAACTTAAAGTTCTGATTTGAAATGATAACGAACGGAGGGAGGAAAGACCATTTCAAAAGACGTGGAGGGAGATTATTCCAGACTGCTGCTTCCCAGACTCCACCCTGACCCTGACCCTAACCCTAACCCTAGCCCTAAACCTAACCCTGACCCTAACCCTAGCCCTAAACCTAACCCTGACCCTAAACCTAACCCTCCATCCTTCATTGGTCATCTTTCATTGTGAGTAATAAATATTTTTGGGTAAAACTTGTTTGGACTTATTGTACAAACCTATTTAACATCCACTATTTTAACATAATATTATAGATAGAGTTTAAATCAGTGTTAGCAAGATTAATTTCACTATTTTTAAATTAATGTCTATATTGCCATGAAGCAATTAGGATTTTCTTGCCTGGGATCTTCCTATTGGTGACCAAATCAAAATGGCCGACTTGGATGTGGGGGAGTTGGATATCCATCCTTGGATCTGAGCGAGGCCTCTAACCGGGTTTCCCTGCAGGGCTCTGCGGGTGAGGAAGAAGATGTCCGGGGACCGGATGCCCGTCAAGATGATCGGAGACATTTTGACCAATCAGCTGCCCCACATGCAGCCGTACATCAGGTACCAGTTTTTTGAGCATTTTGACTGATTTTTCCAGAGCCACAGAATAGTTTGTGCTATGACTATGTAAACACCGAACACACCAAAAGAAAGACTAGACTCTCTTCTTTCATCAGGAAAATAAATGTTGTTTCTACCTTATTCCGTTCTTCCTGGACTTGCGTCTCACCGGCGACATGTTCTCTCATAGCGAACCGTTAGCTTTTTCTTATTTGCCTACAGTCTATGCTCATCTCCCATCAAAAGTGGCACTGCCCCCTAGAGGGTCAATTTGTTACTACATACTCTGTCTAGAAGCCCATATTTACGGACTAGCTTTAGCAGATCGTCCCCCAGCCACTCTCGATGAAAAACATAAAAGACGTCTATAGACGTCTTTGGCAGCCAATGAGTTAAATATCCCCCTTTTCTGTTCAGGTTCTGCTCCTGTCAGCTGAACGGAGCCACGCTGATTCAGCAGAAAACCGACGACAACCCGGAGATCAAGGACTTCCTGAAGGTTTGCACACACAGTCCAGAGTCTTTTTGTTAAAAAGAACAACAACCCTCCAGTCAACAGAGGAGTAATTTAACAACCACCTTCTCACATAGTAGGATGGTGTGATATAAAGGAGGTTTTTTCTCCCTGATTGGTTGAATTCAGTGGTGGGCCGTCAGGGTTAGGCCTAAGAAAATATCTGAATCACAGACTGATGTTAATTATATTTTATCCAGGAATACTTATTATATTAATTTAATATAATATATTAATATTATTATATATTAAATATTTCCAAATGGTCTGTCCGCTTCCTTTCGTAGCTTTTCCCCTGGTTGTTCTGTTTCCAGACATGTGTTTTCATATTAAAGCATTTAACCAATCACATTTCAGCCATCACTTGTTGCTAGGCAGAGTCAAAGTCAAAGACGTCTGCCTGGAGGCCTTCACAATCCGTTCTGCTGGCCCTCTAACAGCTAATAATAATAATAATAATAATAATAATAATAATAATAATAATAAATTAATCAATTATAAATATCGATTAAACCGTTGCTTTAACCAATCAAATCAACAAAAAAGTGCACGGATAATCTGTATGACAGAGTAATGGAAGTCTTTTTGAGGAAAGAGAGGATGATCGTTTTGTCTACAAATAATCGCAATGTTGCTTTTTTCCTAAATTATATAGTGAGTTTATGAGGATATTATTGTCAATAGTAGAAGACTTGTGCCCCTGATATTTATACTGTATTTCTACATAATAAGATAATTTTTATAACCATTAAATAGTTATTGAGGGCTGAATTGATTCAGATGGAGCACCACTGAAGGCCTAAATGTGAAACGCTCGGTCTGCCACTGGTTGAATTCAAAGATTGGTTGAAAAAGTTTAAAATTATTGGCTGTTTTTTTTTAACAATTTTTTTAATTATTTTTTCAGAAATGTTACAATGTGGTACGAATGTACATGTGTATTTTTACATTTTTAAACATAAACAAAAAAAACACAAACACAGGGTGATTTCAAGAGTGTGAGAAAAAACAAAACAAAAAAAACATTATTGCATAATTAGTGGAACGACAGGTCTCCAACGTTTATTGAATATGGGTGTTTGTAGTCTCAGAGAATATGTTATATGTTCCATTCAGTATATATCCCAGACCTTATGGATCCATATATTGTAGCAAGGAGGCTCGGCTGTTTTTTAGAAAGAAAGAAAAGAAAAGAAAGAAAGAAAGAAAGAAAGAAAGAAAGAAAGAAAGAAAGAAAAGCTGCTGATAAATCCCCTTTTCTCCTTCTTTCTGCCAGAGGTTGGCCATGGACCCCCGCTGTAAGGGCATGCCTCTGTCCAGCTTCCTGCTCAAACCCATGCAGAGGGTCACCCGCTACCCCCTCATCATCAAAAACGTAGGTCCCCTTTTTTCTACGCCGTTGAAAGACAAACCATTTCTTTTTTACCGGACGTGGGACTCTGTTTTTTGGACTATTTGGATGCGCCTGCAGCTCAGAGAATGAGACTGGGTTTATTAGATTTAGCTTGGCAACAAGAGGACAATTTGTAGTTATGTTATGTTTGTTTTTTCTGCTTTTGGGCTCCCTTTATTTATTTTATTTTATTTATTTATCTATTTATTTGTTTGTTTGTTTGTTTATTAATT